GCTCAGCCAGGAACGAGGCCATGGAGCTCTGTATCGCTCTCATTCATTCTCTCTGGATGCCTTCGTCTTTCTGTTTAACTGCTCTGTCCATCACCCTCTTATTTACACTATCCCCTCATCTCTCTCTGTCTTTCTCTGCCTTCCATCCTGAAAAAAACGCTCAGGCCCCTTTGCCTGTTTTCCCCACCGATCCCTCACCCCCCTCCCATCACGGCATGAATAGTTTTCTATGTCAAGCTGACCCTCATTCGTAGAATATCTGCACCCTCCTCCCTCCATCCACTCCTCCATCTATCCCTCAATCCTCCGTCATCACCATTTGCCCCACTGCCCGAAATATCCGTCAGCTGTTGGCCAAATAAAAGATGGGGAGAAAAAAAAAGGGACAAGGGTATGTTGTAAACATCCCTTCAAAGAAAGAAAGAAACCATTCTGCTCCATTTCCCTCCCGTATAAAAAACAGCACAGAGGAAAGATGAAAATAAAAAAAGAGAAGGATGTGTGGTCAGACGGGCTGAATGGTGCTGACACATGTGCTGGCAGTCACACAGGGATCACGTCCAGCTGACACTCAGCCCGTCATTCATATGATTCATATTTTAATACCACAGACTTGAACTGATTTTCTCTCCTTTGGTTGTTTATTAGTTAAATCAATATAAGAATTTACAGATTAACGGAGCCGATAGTGGTGGGAGTTTTTTATTCAAACACTAAACATCTTCTCCATCACAAACAAAAGACATGGCTCTGTTTGATGATTGTATACGAGGCTATATATTTATTTGAGGAATTTTGTTTTTTACATTACCATGTCAACTTTTTTCAGTATATTTGTGTCAACGTCTGATCCAAATTAAATTCCTTTTATATCTTGAAGTTCAGCTGTTACTGACGTACACCGCTCAGCCAAAACATTTAAACCACTGACAGGTGAAGTAAACAACACAACATCATCTTGTTACAGTGCAATGTTCTGCTGGGAAACTTTGGGTTTTGACATTCATGTGGATGCTCCTACACCAGTGCAGACCAGGCACCCCCTCTCATGGCAATGGCACTCCCCAGTAGTAGTGGCCGCCCAGCAGGACAATGCCCCATGCCACACCACAAAAACTGCTCAGGAATGGTCCGAGGAACTTGACAAAGACCTCAAGGTGTCGACCTGGCCTCCAAATTCCCCAGATCCCAATCTGATCAAACATCTGTGGGACATGCTGGTACCCCACCTCACAACCCACAGGACTCAAAAGATCTGAAGCTAACGCCCTGATGCCAGACACCAAGGGACACCCTCCAGAGGTCCTGTGTCCATGCCTTGAAAGGTCAGAGCCAAGTCCGGTCCAAGGAGGACCCATCGTGGATCAGGGGGTACTTCTGGGGTAATGTTAGACCTGGAGTATTTGGAGGCCAGGTCTGTCATGTTCCTCAGGTCATGACTGAGCAGTTTTTGTGGTGTGGCATGGTGCATTGTCCTGCTGGGGGGCCACTGCTACTGGGGAGTGCTGCTGCCATAATGGGGGATGCCTGGTCCCCATTGGTGTTCAGTTGGGTGGAGCTTGTCAGGTGGTATCCACCAAATAATTGTTGGCATTTTTGTAAAAGACGGATATATTGCAGTTGTATGTTAATGTATCACATCAACATTTCTAAGGGGACACAGTACAGGAGTTGATTTTGTCATTTAGAGGTGGACAGGATGTCGGTTGGTGTGATACCTAGATTAGATTCCCGCCAATCTGCAGCAACAAAACTGGTTGTTTTTTTAGCAACCTGTCACTGTGTTTCCACCATGAGGGTGCCATGAAAAGTGGTTGACTTTGACTGAGACATACAGTGGAATGAATAGTTTGGTTGTGTTTGCAGGTTCTTATTTGTAATAAGTGCCATAACTAAATTAAAGTTGGCTGAATAATTTAGTATAAACGCTAAACTTTTTATTCAAAAGAACAGTGGAAGCTCTCTGAGGTCCCTCTCACTATTTAAAGGCATGAAATGGTTTAGTCCGCTCCTGCGCTAGGATGTGTCTCCAGACGCAGTTAGAGCTGAGTGAGTGGTTTCTTTGGCTGCTGGAGCACTAACACACACTGTCATGTCTTCCCCCAAAAAAGAAAACTGGGGATCCAAAAAAGAAAAGAAAGAAAGGAATGTAAGAGAAGGCGTACTGAAATTTGTTACGCTAGCTAGCACTGCTAGTTGCAAACAGGTGCATCACAACAACACAGAAAGAGGCTAAACCTCCACAAAGTCTGTCCTGCTCCTTTGTGCGAGAGTCGGCGGATCCTTTTGCATCTATCCTCCTGAGACTCTGTGTTCTCATATTAAGACATCACAATTTGAGTTTACTTTGTGATGGCCAAATGAAGTCTCATGAAGCATTTTCTTTATTTTCTGAGCCCACTAGATGGCGCTCATGGTTTAAAGAGAGAGGCTCAAAGAATGGCAGTTAAGTGTGCTTTCAGCCTTTTGTTGAACAAAAAGCGCCATCTAGTGAGCTCATAAAATAAAGAAAATGCTTCATGAGGCTTCATTTGGCCATCACTACCGACAAGGTGCCACCTCCTACTCTGTTTTTGGACATTCACCCATCAATTTGGGGTTCAGTATCTTGCCCAAGGGTGCTTTGGCATGCGGACTGGACCCACTCTACCTCCTGAGACACAGCCGCTCCTAATGGCTGAGCCTTTCGAGGACGGAGGATGTTGCACGCTAACTGCTCACTGTATCCGGAGTTGAGTCGATACTGGACTCCTTTAATGATGCCATCTTTTTTTGCTATTCTAGTTAATGAATGAAAATATACCTGATAAGTGAAGTCTACTGGAGATGTGTAACTCGCATGTTTTTAAGGGATCTAAAATCTAGAAAGACCTCTGATCATAAAGGGTCTGTTAGTTACTAACATGTAACCAGCACTGCCCTGAGTTATGAGACAAACACGCAGTATGTCGTCTGCTACACCTGCATAATTAGACTGAGATATTCCTCACATCACTTATGCCTATTCCTAATTAACTGTTTCAAATTTTAAGCGAATTAATAATGAATTTACAACACTGGCCAGCTGTAGTGTCTTTCTGTGCTGGTATGGTTTAGTGTGTGTGTGTGTGTGTGTGTGTGTGTGTGTGTGTGTGTGTGAGTGAGACTGTGTGTGTCCGTGACAAGGACCACTATCCTCATTTAGGGCAGCAGTTAATTCTGGGATTATCCTTTTTATGAACAATGGCTGGGATTGGGATTATGGGCCGAGGTGGGGGAGGATTGGGACGACTGGAGCATCTAAAGGGGCATTTATTGGATCTCCTTAACAGGACAGATTGCATTGTGTGGCATGTGCTGCTGACAGCACCTAATCCTGTAAAACACCACAATCCGCCCAGCCCTGGCAGCCTCTGCGCTCTATTCATGTCCCACTCCGTACAAACACAGAGGGACATCAGAGAGGCGGACTGTGGTAGTAAAACAAGCAGGCAGCAAGGGAAGTAAGAGTCTTGTTCATTTTCAGTTTTATGTGGCTGTAGGAGAACTTGCCCCGCCCCTCGCACTCAAAGAGCTCTCCTCTGGACTGAAAAGCAAAAATGCATCATGTCTTAATCTTATTGCAGATTAGAAACAGAGTTGGGGAGATAAAAACTGTGCAAGTTAACGTTCATGCAGCCTTAATGAACAAGAAATAAACCATCTGAATTTCTCCAACACCAATAGAACCGTTAACATCGGAGCTTATCCAACTAGAGCCTGTTTAATACCAGGTTTGGTGCCCATCCATACCTCCACCTCCAACATGTTGTATTGCTCAGTACAGTCAAGTGAATGTCTGAGCAGTAAAACGCTCCACTGTCAGTGTGTGTGTGTGTAGAGGTCATAAATGACACACGACAGCTGATCCAGAATGTGTCAATACCATCTAATCTACTGGTTTGCCCTCGACTGTTTGAACACAGACTGTCATCTGCATGTGTGTGTGTGTGTGTGTGTGTGTGTGTGTGTGTGCTTTGGGGGGGTTCTGGGTGTCACTATGGTGAGCGGGATGCAGGCAAAATCCAATATGGCATGTGGAGGGAGAGACGAAGACAGAGGGAGAGAAAGACAGGAAATGAGAGAGACCTTCTTGGTCAGCCTCGCGTGCCATGAAGTGATTCATTCACTCACTCACTCACTCTCACACACACACACACACACACACACACACACACTCAATCACTCTCTCTCTCACACACATACACACACACACTATGGGAACCAGGTCAAGCATGGCCTAGGCATGACCAGTGAGATGAGATCATCGACAACTGGTGCGGCTACTGTACTCAACACCATACAATATCACGTGCGTGTGTGTGTGTGTGTGTGTGTGTGTGTGTGTGTGTGACTCCCACATTCTGGGTCAAACTGAGCGGTGCTCCAGTTGGTCATTATTCAGTGTCGCTGATGGGTTTAACACATCAAACTGCTGTTGGTCTGTCCGTCCCCTTCACCTCGCAGCCATAAGCCCGGGACACTGGAAACCCAATCCATCCATATCCAACAACACAATCTGTGTGTGTGTGTGTGTGTGTGTGTGTGTGTGTGTATACAACAGGACAGAGGCGAGGCACATTGTTGGAATAGCTAGTGTTTGCTGGAGCATTAAAGTTTGGCCTGAAGCTCCGCGGGACTAAAAAAGCTCCGGCTTTATTGCCTGCTCCTCTCTCACACTTACTGCTGTGAGAACATCACACTGTTTACTTCCTGTGGGTTTTCTATGTTTAGTCACGAGCAAACCAAACCTCAGTGTAGTCACCAGTCACACTCTGACACCAGCGTTTGTGGCACATATCCTGATGATCACCTCTGGACACTTAAAATAGAGAATTTAAGTGTCTCGGCGACAAAACAGAAAACAAACATTTTGAATGTCTGAGCAGTTTAAAGAACATTTTAAGTTTCCAAATATTCAACAGATGTTCATATTTCTAGGTTGTGAGTGTTTCTTTGTCCTGCACAGGTCAGATACTCACAACTCCAGGACCAGCACCATCTCAGAAGCCATCTCGTACACCTGGTGGAGGTTAATGACGCGGGGGCTGGATGTGGCCAGCTCCAGCACTGCGATCTCATGGATGATCTCCATCCGGCAGTCTTGGCCTTTCCGTCTCTTCCTCATGAACTTTGCAGCGTACTCGTTGCCTGTGCGTTTCTCCACACACTTTCTGACCACAGCGAACTTGCCCCTGGAAGAGAAGGAGACCATCAGTGCTGTATACACAACGGCCATGTTTAGTTAACGTATTACAAATTTAGTTACGAATTTACAGCTTCATCTGGACTCAAATGGTAATATGGAAAGTGAAAAAGATATTAGGTAATACAGAAATCATCCATCAAGACAAATCGTGAGTCAGTGGTAAGTTTCCTTTAACTAGTGGTTAATACACTAACTTATCAATCCCACTCAATAACTGTTCACTATTGAGTACTTACTATGTGGTGTCTGTTATATAGGAAGTGGTGACTGAGTGAATGAGGAAGTGATTCTGAACACAGTGTCAGATGGTGTGTCTCAAATCACATACTTCCCTCAGTACACTTCCATGTAGTATACTATGTGCACTATGTACTCATTGGCGTAGTGTGCAAATTTCGACAGACCAAACACGGCCGTTGTGCGCTCACCGGAAATGACGACCGCAAATTAGCTAGTTAGCAAACTAGCATTAGCATTTGCATTAGTGTTCGCGGTACCAAATCATTACAGACTGCTAAATTAACCCAACAAACATACTGCTGGCTTATACCTGACAACAGTATAGTGGTGCTTAGTGCAAAAAACACATGTATTTGTACAATGCAGCAACGTTCACGGTCGCACAGTCCTCGGCCGCCATTTCCAGTTTGAAAAGTGGTCCCTCCCCTTCCGCTACGTAGCCAAGATGGCGACCACTGAGGGCCAGAAGTGTCCATACACTCAACTTCTTGACCGTTTTGAGTGCACCATCCAGGTACTGCATTTTTCCATGCTGCTCAGTGTGAACGCGCTTATGCACTCAAAATATTAAGTGTAAGTACAGAAGCACGAGATTTGAAACACAGCAAGAGTCTAGAGTCATGCAAATGGCTCGGTGAGATTACACGTTGATGCTTTAAGCTGAACGCTAATTTTACCATGCTAACAATGACAATGATGAATAATAGAAACCTCTCAACTTTTGACATGGTGGCTGGGGACAACAAGGAGCCTGAGCTGGCTACAGTGAACACCGTCATGTTATATAGATGTAAGTTATACACATTTTTTTTGCACTAAGCACCAAAACTGTTGTCGAAAAAGAAGCTGTCAGTAATGTGTAATGGGTTTGTAATGATTTGCAAGCGCTAACGTTAGCTTGCTAGCTAACATTCCCTCGCTAGCTAACTTGCTCCTGACTACAGCAACACATTTTAATTAGCGCTCACGTTGAGGCGCAAGTTGTGGGCGGAGATAACGGTCAAATGTTGGTGATGTAAGAAGTACACAGTGTACTACACTGAAGGGTACCAATGGAAGTATGCGATTTGAGACACACTGCCCGTCTTTGTAGCGTGTGGTTGCTGCTAGCTTCACTGTGTCCATTTTGAGTTTTGCCAAGTGATAATGCAGTTCGTCATGCAGACTTCGGAAGTGTGGGCTAAATTAAATGGTACTGATTAAATTAACTGGATATTGTTTTAAAAACAAGGGTTGATTGGTGATTTTTTATTGATTTATTTTAATGTCAAATGTAAAAACATCCATAAGGTTGCTCTGCTGCTTTGTATTGCCTCTGGTACAATGATCATTTCAATCATTTTGAAACAGATTGCTAGTGATGGTCAAATGAAGCCTCATGAAGCATTTTCTTTATTTTCTGAGCCCACTAGATGGCGCTTTTTGTTAAACAAAAGGTTGAAAGCACACTGAATTGCCATTCTTTGAGCCTCTCTCTTTAAACCATAAGCGCCATCTAGTGGGCTCAGAAAATTAAGAAAATGCTTCATGAAGCTTCATTTGGCCATCACTACAGATTGTACTAATTTTTTAGACAGCTCTTTGAGGTTTTAAACTCTTGGGAGGGCCACAGAAACGCACACAGAGAAAGTAGAATTACCACCCCACGACAGTACCCTGCACACCAGTCAAGTTTCTCTGACAGTTTACATCCATGCCTGTGAAAACATGGATGCTTCACACACATTATTCCCCCCGAGAGCACAGAAGATCTATACAATCAGCACAGTTTCAAGATCAGAGTCACCAATTCAGTATCTGACTAAATATTTGCCCTTCTGTTCCTGAGATATGACGAAAGTGGACGTTTGTGCCAAATTTAAAGAAATTCCCTTAAGGTTTTCTTAAAATATTGTGTTCACAAGAATGAGACGGATGCAAGGTCATAGTAACCTTGACCTTTGACCACCAAAATCTAATCAGTTCTTCCTCGAGTCCAAGTGGACATTTGTGCCAAATTTGAGGAAATCCCCTCATGGCGTTCTTAAGATATATCTTCTCAGGGAAACAGGGATGGGACAGATGGACCAAGAACTCGAAAACTTAACGCCGGCACTGAGCCATAAGAAAAAAAAAAAAGAGTTATTTAGTTGTAGTCTGTAGCAAAGTTGCCAGCGAGAGGATTTTGACACTTCATACAGAAGTTGTCGAGATATTTCAGAAACAAAATGGTGAACCAACCAACCTGTTACAGAGGACAGACACTGACTATAGAGATTGTTAAGAAGGGCTTTGGCATCAGAAGTTCAGTTGGAAACACACAGATGGATATTTGGTGTCAATGCTGCTTATAAAAACACAAGTTAAAAACATTTTGTGGATGTCGTTGGCAGTGTTTCCCTTTCTCTTTCAACCACAACCATCTGGCCTGACCCAGTTTGATTCCAGGCTCGAAGGTGTTCTCATGTGATGACCGCAGCTCTGTGTGTGCACACATGTGCTTACTGCCCGGGGAAAACCTCTGAAATGCAGCTGGTGATGGAGATGGAGATGACAAGCCCACATTGTGCCTTCCCTGCGGCTACTGTTGGCAGTCAGTGCTTCAATAATCAGCAGCAGCAGCAGCCTGGCTGGCCTCAGCCAAGACACACTGACACACCGAAACTGCTCTCACTTCTTCTTTTAACTGAAGCCGAGACTCATCTTTTCAGTGTGACTTGACATAGCTGTAACTGAGATACAAAGATCATAGCAAATAGAAACACTTGTCTATAAATTGACACGTCAGAAATGGTCAGAAACACAAATGTCCCACTGTACCTTGATGTACGACAGAGAAAAGACTTTTAGTGCTGAATGATTTTCTTGGTCCTTGAGCCTCCAAAGAGAAGTTTAGTTTCAACATAGTTAGTCTTGTTAGTCTCTAACTTTATATAATTTTTTGATTTATTATTATTGTGTATTTATCTATTTATTCATTTTTATTAATCTGTTTTTCTAGCTGGCATATTCTTCTATTTTGTTACTTATTATTTATTACTGCAAGCTAGTCAGTCAACTTATATTTTACCATAATTGTAGCATCATAGCATTAGGTATATCTCAGTGTAGTTGCTCCCCACCTTAGTCGAGTGTGCTGTTTATTTTCATTATAGCATTTGACTAGCAGCCTGTGCAGTGAACAGCTGCAACCAACAAAGTGAACTGCACCAAATCCCACCGGCAGAAATAACAACACACTGACTGACACTCTCACAGCGCATCACAGGAAGGAATATTTCCAAGGTCAATCGTCTGAAATGCAGTTTCAGGACATGTTGAAAGTTCACACCGTTCACCAGCATAGGCCTCTAACAACACTGGGAAGTGCACAGCTCTCAAAAAGTTGTCAACACAAAAGTCGTCACTATAACAACTGACAGCTGCAGCAGGAGGAGACGGAGAATTAGAGAGAGCAAGTGGGAGACAGAGAGAGTCTCCGTGTTGTGCAAATTGTTGTCTCTAATAAACAATTCAGTCTGGAACACTTTATTTCTATTTGCATTATTATATTTGATGGTAAGGATCTGTTCTGGGCCCTCTCTGCCTTTCCTAGGGCCTATGCAGAAACCTTAGAGGTCGTATACATGCTGCGTCTTTAACCACCTAGAAAACACAAGGTCAGACGCTGGGCGCTACTCTTGTGCCTTTTCTTTGTCAGCTTTCAAGAGCGTGGCAGCAAGTTGCACCTGAGGTTGCTAAGCATCCTCAAAAAGCACTGTGTCATAGCCTATTTACCTGAAATCCCGAGTGCAGAGCCGATCTTCTTCCAGTAGCTGTTTATAAGTGTGTCGGCCTGTCGTCTGTGGGACAGATGTAAAGCTCTGACAGCTCTGCACTAACATGATCAACTTTTCTTCACATTTACCACAGACTGATATTTACGGATGAAGGGAAAGATATCTGTCATCTGTGACTGGTTGGTCCTGGTCACATGACATGGGCATCGCTCTGGCATTTGAGTGCGCCTGCCGTGTGTCTACATTGAAAACAATGAATTTGAGGGCGCAAAAAATGCAGCATGTGTACAGCCCCTAAGGGAGAGAAAGCACACCTCCCTGCCCTTCCACGTGCAAATGAGGAAAGCCTGAGGCAGAGAGTGCAAACCTTCCTGCCCTTCCATGCGTCTACATGGAAAGCCTAAGGCAGGGAGAGCAGCAGCAAAGACCCCCCGGGAACAGAACAGAGCAGCATCAATGACAAACAGAAATGACACTGATAAGCCAGACAGCAAAAGGAGGAGCTGGGGTGGAGGCAGGTTGCAAAGCAGCTTTCAGAGGAAGCAGCAACAGTAGGCAGGCCAGAGCAGTTTAAATAGGGCGCCCTGAATGAGATTCACCAATTGGTTGCATGGAAGGAATCATGTGATCTATCAGCTGATGTAGCTGGGATGTGGGCTGAGCTTGCCATCGTGTCCTGCCTGAACTAACGCTATGCTCAATTAAAATCATCAAAGTAAGTGCCATGTTGCTGTTTTCCAAACTATTGTAGCTGCAATCTGGTTGCTATGGTTATGGATTAACATTTCGTCCAACAATTAGACACACCCTCTCTGTTTGAGACAGTTAAACACAAAGTAAATCAGACTGACGGGGGCTTTGACAGTGATGGCCAAATGAAGCCTCATGAAGCATTTTCTTTATTTTCTGAGCCCACTAGATGGAGCTCATGGTTTAAAGAGAGAGGCTCAAAGAATGGCAATACAGTGTGCTTTCAACCTTTAGTTGA